AATGATGAATTTCAAAGGCCAAAACAAAATCATTTCATGAATTCAATACTTCAAAAGAGTTAAATCTCATCAAATTAAATCCACATTACACTGGTAAACAGTTATAACTGATCTGTGTTACAAAACAGATTACAGATTTTTATAAATAATAAATAATATTTTCTGAAGCGTTATTTTGTATTGTCATCCCTAAATAAGAAATTGCTTACATATTCAGAAGGCTGCTGAACTATATTCTGGTGTTTTTAATAACTTTAATCAGATACGTATAAGCCAATGTAATTTTTTAAAAAATGTCGTTTAATTAATTGGCCTTGATGCTTTTTAAAATGCACCTTGGCACAGTGCTTCTAAATTAGGGTTATGCAAAGAGATCCGAGGGATGAATGAAAGAAATAGAGACAAAAATGAAAATGTCAAAAATGTCTCCCTTTGTATGTCTGTTGAAAAAACATTCAAAACTCAGAATGCTGTACTTTCTTCTTCCATATATGTTATGAAATATTTCATACACCTAAAAGAAAGTGTTTCTTCAGAGTCTTGTACAATTATTTCTATAAACGAAAGTGACTGTAAGCTCGTTTTATCTCATATTTAATTGACAACATGCTCCAAAGTTATTTTTTGAATATGAATTTACAATGTTTTTAATGAAATTTTTGTTAAAATAGCATTAAGATAAACTTATTTGCACACTGTACACGTTAACAATTTCGCTATTTGACAGTAGCGAACGTTTTTATTCATATCTTATTTATTTTACTTTGCTAACTAAACTGAAACATCTAAAGCATAAATTATTTTGAATATGTTTTACAAAATATACGTGAAATTTTTATTTAAGTGAAAACGTCTATACACTATTCGAGAACTAATAAATTATCTGAAAAGTTTATATGCGCGGAATCCCGCGCGTCTGTAAAATTAATATATAAAAAACATCAAGCATTCAGCCAGGGTCTGCAATAAACGCGCCAAAACTAGCAGCGCTTTCTATTTCTCGCCTAGATGGAAAAGTTGGTGATTCAACCTGGTATATAGGAGCCTTAGGTAAGACAGCTTCCCTGTAAAAAAGGGGTTAGGATTGCCAGAAACTGCCAAAAAAGGCAGAGTTGCCAGATTTGGTGCAAAATCGCACATTTGACGATAAAATTGGCGATATGCCATAGATGAAGCGAGTACATTCTAAAACGAATTCTTAACGTTTTCCCCAGAATGTTCTCGAAGGCAGGTTAAAAGCTATATAAACCCTGCCTGTACGTGGAGTAGGAGTGTATCTTGAGTTTATCGTGAAGAGTATCTTGAGTGTGTTTAGTTCAGTAGTAGTGCTTTGAGATTAGCTTAAGAGCGATCGAGTACTTTAGTGCTTTGCCGTGAAGCTAGCTGTCTTCACCGTTGTAGCCTGAAGACTGTGTTACTGATTGTTTCAGCGTGTTTATCGTAGCTTTTCGACGGATGCAAACGTGTCTTTGGAACACTCCTGTGTAATACTGACGCCATAAACTGTCTTTTGATTCTTCATCAAGTGTTGTCGTCAATTACTCCAAATCCACGAACCCGTAGGACGCAACACTGTGTTAGATTCTTTTTTTTTTCCAAATGTTCTTGGAGTGGGTTCTATCTTAAAATAGTAATGAGAAGTATCCGCGAATAAGTGAACCTTATATGAAACTCGATTCACATCATGCAATAAAACATTTATTTTTGACGAGCAATTATTGTTCCTGTCATTACAGACCGGCAACTTCTTTCCCACTAATCATAAACATAATCAAATATTCTCTGCGTATAGCGCCATCTGCAGAAAATTCTGTACACAGATATAAGTACATATATAACATTAGAAGCATTGTTTGTTAATTATATGTGGCATAGGCCTCATTTTATTCATTTTCTTCCTACATTTCTCCAACTTTGGATCTTCGCTTAGGAGTCCGTGCATTATGCTCTGAAATTCAAAGCATTGAGGCATTGTTAATTATGAAGGTAACTCAATAACTATGCTGTAAAGTATTTTACCAGGATTCGATAAGAAATAAGTAGGCCTGTCTCGCCGGCTTCGGATGCGTCCAGCACAAAGAACTTCTTTTGAAAGTTTCTGGCAAATAGGCTTACCAACCAGAGCATCGAGCTAACATCATTAAATTTTAATTTCATTTTATTAGTTTAATTAGATACATTTTTGAAAACATAAATAAGAATAAAAGGAGAAGATGTATAGTTTTAGATTGCTCAGTTTGTTAAACAATTATAATCTGAAAGGTATGTGGCCTACCTACTGCAGTCTTTTGAATCTGACTCCTTAGGATGAATCTAAAGTTGATGGTTATGCTTTTCGCCCCCCTTCCGTATTTGGTTACATTAGTAGATACTATGGAAAGACGATGTATAGGACATGCTTGAGCAGTTTATTGACAACTGATTTAATAGATTAAATAAATTTATAAATTATTAACCTTTGCAGTTAACAAGTTCTTGATAAAATTATTTATTGGACAATAACAGCTATCATAGAAGATTTCTATCCTTTCTAACTAAGATCACATATTTATTCATTCTCTCGTTGAAATTAACGGTAAATAAAAGAAAAGTGCGTGAAGTAATCTATATGTTTGCCTGGTGTATTCTCAAAGCAATACTTTTGTGGAAGTTGTTTTGTCATGCGGGAAATAAATAAATTTAATAGCTATCTCCCCCCCATCTCCCCCCAAAAAACGCCAAACATAGATGAAAGGGAAGAAAATGCCAAAGAAATATGTACATATATAAACTCGCTGGTGTGCGATACAGATTTTAGGGATATTGATGATACATATTTTGCTTTATAAAGATATGCACATTTGATGTGATGATGAAGATGCTATAAATGTCTTGCCTTCGTCAAGTATTCATGCTTCCATGCTGTACACAAATAGGAGCAATTTAACAGTTTTTCTCGAATATAAATTATCCTAAATTTATTATATAATATTAGTAAAACTGCAAACTTATTTACAGATGATGCGTTGTTTACTTATTTGCACTATTACGGAAAAAAAAAAAAAAAAAATCATCTGGGAAAACTTAAAATGGAATTGACTATACTGTTCCAGAATGAAAAGTTTTATGGACTCATAATTCTATAAAGGCAAAAACCAAAAAGGCGTTATTTAGCATTACTGGTCGATTGAACCATACCTCAAAAATCCTCCCACCACCATTTCCAAGCATGGAGGTAGGAAGTAAGATGGAGTTGTCCTAAACAAGTTTCTCCCGTACCCTGCTCTGAAGCACCGGCGATCCCTACGTGGTGACCAAAACATTGGGTCATTTACCACTGAGTTCAATGGGATTTGACGCGTTCGGATGTAAATATTTTGTAATTACGTCGTAAATATACATATAAATGTATATATTTTCTTTTTCTACAACACTTCAGAGTCCTAATTATATGAAACAACATATTTTTAAACAACATTTCATTCTGAACGGAATTAAATGCTATACTTTTTACAGGACAGTTTTCTCAGAATGGTTTAATTTGAATGAAATATTTTCACAAGTTTTCGTTAATTACATTAGGAAAAAAAATTAAGGTAATTTAAGGTACAAAAATTAAGATCAAAGTTTATTGTATTATTAATATTAAAATTATGCATTATTTTTTTTCTATTTATAGAGCTTCTTCCCAAAATACTTTCTTAAATATGACATGATTTTTTGGCTTCTGAGGCATCTTTTAAATCGAAAAAATGTAAGTCAATTTATAATTAATGCTCTATTCGGTTCATTTTAAATTAGAGAATTATTAGGAATTAGCGAAATACTACAAATAGTACTTGACTTTCTCTGAAGTTATTATAAAATGTAAGGGGAATAATTCTTCTAATGATACTTATCAGATTTTTTTTTTTTACCCTTCATTTCAACAATACATATTCCAAAACTCTTTATTACTTTCTTAAGTGCGCATCTTATAGCATTTGCTTTACAATACCTATTAACAGATTGCTTTCCAATACAAACAATTCTTGCTTAAATAGTTTTATAACGTATTTGTCAGCAGGATTTCAATTTATGTTTACAATTCAATATTAAGGTTATTATATATTTAGATAACATTTATAATCATTATAAATTAGATACATTTAATAATTAGATTTTTTCACAGTTGTTTATAAATGAATATATTCTTCATTTCAAATACATTTATAAATAATTTAATGAATATTTATGTATTTTGTCAAAGGCAGATACAAGCTTTTTGCAATAATGTATGGATGTGAAAAAAATTTGTTTTATTTAAAACATTTGGCGTTTGGAAAATAAAATAAAAGTAGCGAATACTCTATCAAGGGTATCGAAAGACGTATACAATTTCAAATGTACCGTAAGGTATTTTTTCATTCTTTAAGCATAACATTTTTCTTAAAATTTATATTTTTGTAGTTCAACAGCTTAGAATTTTATAAAACAAATTCATAATCAAAATCGCGCTGCTGTTAGTTATCGAAAAATAACCAAGATGTGATTTTTGCGTAAATGTCACTAAACTATACAAATTGCTATTATCCATCACACTATGAATGTTTCTTTCATGGGAAAGTGTCCCTTTTTCGATTTGTATGGAACTGTCGTGTGTCGAAATACTATCAGAACCGTGTCAAGCGAGCTTCTGAATGTAAACAAAGAACACCCCATCTGGTGACCCAAGCTTCAAAGTAGTGCTTCACTTCTAGTGCCGACTGGCCCCTCCTTCTTTTCCTACCTCCATGTTTCCAAGGCGATGAGCAAGAAAAGTTTTAGGCATATCTTTGAAAAGTCATGGTACTTTTGTCAAAATTGGCAAAATTCTGTCACTTGAGTATGGACCTCAGTTAGTTAGTTAGTTAATAGTTACAGATAAAGTTCTGTATTGCACGAAGTACCTGTATTTGTGTAGAATGAGGCTTATATAACGAAGTATATTGTGTCATTTTTGTGTGCAGTTACTATAGAAATAAAAAAAAGCCATTTCGAAATTGCTTTAGCTGAACTAAATTTTAATTAAAAATTTAAACATAATTACATAACAACATGAATGTTAAAAAAATTTCAAAAACCTTCTGGATTTAGCAGTTTCAATCACACTTAATAATTTTCATTTTAATCATTCCGTTATTAAATATCACACTCCTCATACATTTCATTCACACCACAGATACATTTATGACTTGGGATGACAGAAGTGCATAGAAAATAGTTGGTATGCAATTCGAAGCATTAGGAAATGCGTTACATTACAGGATGCCTGGTACAAATAATAATACAGTGTAAACCGGTAAAGTGTTGTTTATGAAATAATTAACTAAAAATAAATTTATAGGTGAACGAAAATGTTTTAATGATATTTTAATAAATTTGATTTAAAATAGACAGTAATGCAACAGATTTCTCCATAATATTGCAATATATATATATATAAATGTAATAGCTAAATGATGTTTTGATATTTTGAAAATAAGTTAATGTGTAGTTAAATTAAAAGCAAGTAAAATCAGACTCCTAATGCAATGATATCAATTCTGACTTTTTGATAATAAATAAGTTTACATGTAATTAAATTAGAAACAATTAAAATAAAACTACTAATGCAATAAATACATTTTCTGACTTTTTTGATAATAAGTTTATGTGCAATTAAATTAACGTGTAAAATAAAACTGCTAATGGAATGAATATATATCCTGACTTTTTGATAATGAGTTTATTTGGAATTACCCGTTGTGAGCAAGAATTTAATAACTCCATAATTGCAAATAGTCCATCGGCAGTTATTTCTTAAATCGATTGTAATTACTGTTGACTTTGCACTTTGACAAAACTAATTTATAATCAGCAATCATAAATTAATAATTAGTAAAACTTTCAAACTATTAAAATTAAAATATTATTTTGAAAATTTTGATTAAAAGGGATATTAATGTGATATATTTAATACTTCTATTCTTACATGCGATTCTAAAATACTGTTTTCTGAATTTCATTATTGAATATAAACTTATGAATTTCTTTCTGAGAACAAATATTTGAAAGTTCTTAAAGTAATTTTTTGCAGTGAGTTTTATAATACGAAAATGCAGAAAATTTTATGCCGTGATAATGATTTTATTGAATGCCCTTTCTTTTCAACATTTGTTATGAGAAAATCGTACGAAAAATATCGAAATTAAAATTTTTTTTGATTATTTACTAACTAAATTAAAATTAATTTTTATTAATTTAACATACCTGGTTGCTATTTATTACCAATGTTCATTTTCAGTAACTAAGCATTCTGGAATATGAATTTCGTTGTAATTATATATCAAATTGCAAATTTTCCTGAGAAAGTCTTCTCTCTCCAGAAAAAAGGAGAATATTTTAAAATTAAATTTCTGTTACATTACTAAACCTAAATACCTTAAGATTTGTTCAAAAACTTCTTTACTTATTTCGATTGTGTTTTAATTTAACGATCACATGTCTGATTACATGACTACGTTCTTGATTTGACACACTTAAATTGAATCTATTAGGCGTTTTGCTTCTTGCATATTATTTAGGAGAATAATGGTTTATATCATAACTCTAACACAATTAAAAAAAAAAAAAAAAAAAAAAAGAATCGAACGGAGTTTTTAGTTTTAAATGAAGTTCAATAACTATGTGAAGTGTTAATGCCTGCAATTAACTTATACTAACTATTTTATACAACACTTTTCATCTTATATTGGAAAAAGCTAAGAGATTTTTCACACTTTACAAATATTCAGTTCCAAAAAATTGAAGCAATTCTTGAAGTCATCCAACTAGGCACTTAACACTCAGCGGCACAACGACATGGCCCCATTCACTCAGAAAAGAATTACACAACATCACAGACACGCATACAGACGTTACATTTAAATAAACTATACTATCTAGATTTGACTTAGAAAAATGATTTACATAAATCTTATTCATCACATCACTTTTGTTGTATACAATGTAGAAAAACTGCTGTACATTAGTTTGGGAAATACTTTGCATGAATGATCAAGGATGATGGGATGTCGGATTCAGAAATATCCAGTCTGTATGTTGGAAGCCATTCCTTGAAAAGTCTTCATCCAAGTGAATTTTACCACACTACACTACAAACACGTCGACTTGCAACGTGTCGATCAGGGGATCTTGAATCGACAATCCACAATAAATGCAAAAGATGGAGATGATCCTGAGACAAAAAATATTCTCGATGGCAGTGAAGCACAAATTCCAACAGTAGTGATATTTTTAAAAGGTAATTGTCCTGCAGCAATTTAAGGGTCATGATGCCCCAAACTCCACTTGGGGGTTCGAGTTGAAGTTGAGTATTCATTTCACAAAGGTAGTAGAAAATATCCTGAGATGAAAGTTACATGGAATTCATTGGTGGTGGTGGTGGCGGGGAATCTGATATAGACTTTTTGAATATATTTCGCTGCTCATCAGTATTTATTTGCCCATAGTCACATGGTGTCATAACAAATATATTTTCTTATTTTAAAAGGAAAACAATTTTTCCAATTAACAAATATATAAAATGAGGAGAAAAATAACTTATTGCATAACAACACTAAATTCATTGTTAGACTGCAGCGAAGTTTGGAATCGAGCCTCAGTCTTTCATATTTTGTGATAACTGGTACAATTGTCACAAAAATAAAGCATTACTGGAAAGTGAAAATATCTTCCCAATTAAAAAAAAAATTGAATTTTTGATGAGATTTTTTTTGGAAGAGGTCACAAGTTTCTTCCCTGAGAGAAAAAAGCTTCCAACCCGATAGAGGGTTTCACTAGTAGTTGAAGATGTTGAAGAGGACGGCAAAGAGAGTGCATGCCGCATAAACACCCAGCGCCACCCACCATAGAACTTGCTCGTGGAGCTTCTGTTCAAAATTCTTTAAAACTAGAAGTCCGATTGTTAGTCCTGCAAGGGCCCCTGTCAGATGAGCTACGTAGGAGACGGGGGGCCCTTGCTGTTCGACTGCGTATCTGTCGTAGATGGCAAATCCGACATCGGCACTCGCTGAAAGATAACAAAGAGAATTTTTAGAAAATAAACCCAACACATTAATAACATATTAATAAATCAATAATTTCTTGAAATAATGCAATATATAATATAAATGAAGTCTTATGTTAAAGTCATATTCTTATTTTATTTTATTTTTATTTTTATTTTTTTTTTTGAGAACCTAACATGTCAATCCCTCTGCTTACGCATATCACCTCCCGTACTTTGCCACATAGCCTAATAAACTGAGAATTTTGATTGGTGCAAAATGGCGTTAACTTCCAAATGCATTTCTACCTCTTTGTTATAAATTTTCATCAGGCCGACCACCGGTCGAGCGGTAAAGTCGCCGAACACTGGTAGTTCGTTCAGATATTGAAATGTGGCGAAGGGGCTGGCTGCATGGTATTTTTCATGGTTTTTCTCATAACGCGTGCAATATATATATATATATGAGCCATTTTCCTTAGAAAGTCCTCCACGAAGGCATGCCTTTATTTAGGCAGAAAAATTTCCTTCTTTTAAATATGTGCTCAACTGTGTTTTATTAGCTGAATGTTTGAGATTTGAGAAAATTACTTTTCTTTGCCGCTATTCGAGATTTAAGAAAATAATGTGGGTGCTCTTAAAATTCTTCGTGGCTATGCAAGATTAAAGGTTTTATTTGTTTGGTTTATTTGATTAAGGTAAAGCACGCTGCCTAGAAGCCACCGTTGTGCTTGTGAGAGCAGATATATCTGAAAACGCGATGTTCCAGTTTTCCATTGAGCATAAAACTATGGATCATGTGATGTATATTACCAATGAGCATAAAGTGAGATCAGGCTGTTCTTAACGTTTCTGTTGTTACTACATGGTATGAGCTTCATATGCTTCAAGAACTGACTTCAGAATTTCTGAGCAACTGTCTTGTGTTTATGAAGAAAGTAAAATAAACGTATACTTTTCAAAAACCATATACAAAGACGGTTTAGTTTGCATTATTTCGTTAGGAATAGTGATGTGTCTATTTTGTCACTGCAGTCTTTTTATTTCGTCTTTTTTAAAAATCAACATGTTTTTTTTAAAATGATTTTCGGATATATTTTTATCTTTTAGGCATTACTTTTGTCATTACTTAAAAAATTTTTTTCTTGATTAAAAAAAAAAAAAAAAAAAAAAAAAAAAAAAATCCTGATTTTTAGTATTCGATAGATTGGCAGCTAGCTCTTTTGTTTTTTTTGCCGAATATCGTTGACTGTTGACGGAGGCTTTTTAGCATAATACTTCGTTCAGACAACGGTTTTATCGTCATAAAGCTTTGCGGTTTAAGGCATAAAAGTCCATAAGTCCAGGGTTTAAGCCATAGCCAATCAGGGAAGGAAAAGTTGCGCATGCGTAAACGTGTTCAGCGAAACCGCTTTGCTATGATTGGTCGGCTTTTATGCCAAGAGGTGGAAAGTTAGAGCCTTTAGGCAAAAATTCTTAAATCAGGTTTTCTGACGTAGAAAGGTCTGGTTGCCTAGCAACGGGTCTCGGCTTAGACCACTTATGATTTTGAAAGTACGTGTGAACGAAGCTCAAAGAAAAACGATGCGAAAACATTAGAAAAGTACCTCTGTAATATGTATAAATATTATATATTAAAACAATAACTTACCTATGACAAAAATGCCTCCTAACCTTGCTAGCCCAAATTCCATCTGGTTATAATTCTGTGAAGAAATGAAAAAAAAAAAAAAAACATTAATGTTGTAACAAAATATATTCATGTGCATTATTATTACAAGTTTAAATAAACATAAACATATTCATTCCGTAAATTTGCTCAATATTGAGAAAAATTAAACTTATACTCAATCCACTTCTACAGGGACGAAATTTTTACTGTTTGTTCAAACAAAAATCGCTTTAGCGAAGTAAATTTATCGAGATATTCTTGCTTTTCTTTTAATTGTAGTGCAGTTTGATAGCAAGAAGTTTATGTTACATTTACGTGCACTAAAATTATCACCCATAATTTTTAATCTCAGAAAGGTTTAATTTGGTAAAAGGTGAGAATTAATTTTTAATCTCAGAAAGGTCTGACATTAAAAATTTATTTCGAATATTTTGACTGATTGTTTTCAAAATGCGATAATAAAAGTGAAAAATGGAAATGGAACTTACCAGCAGAACATTGGCCAAGTGGGCCGCCAGCAGCGCGTATACACCTCCCGACGCCCCGACCAGATAGACGTCTGTATCGAAAACTGAAGTGCCCAAGGAACCTGTCGAAAGAAAAAACAAGATCCATTGTATTTTTAAAAATATTATAGTGAATAATATATATTTATAATTTTGTAACACTCAACTCCCAAATCACCGGGGGGCGGATCAACCAGGTCGAGAATTAGTTTATTTATGTCGGAACGATCGAAAAATAGTTACCACAAACCATCGGCGTAAAATAGAAGTGTATACAGAAAATACAGAATGGAAAAGTAAAATTGGTCGAATAATAGCAGTCATAGCAGATGATATCGTAGTATTTCTAAGCTGTTTTCAGTCAAGCAGTGCGTAATTTGATTGCATGTAGTCTAGATTGTATAAGAACTATTAAATCATTCGTCAAAATAAGCTGCTCAATCGTAAAAGTAAACAACGAATCTGAACAATGAATCTCATTCTGAAGCATTTCTAAGAATAATACCCTAAATACCAATTTTAAGGACCTGCCGAAACCGTCGTGTTGAAATTTCCTTTTTAGTCAATAGATGGCAGCACCACTTATCTATTTTCCTCTTAACTCAGATGCATTCTTACCTGAAGTGAAAATAAAATAAATAATTTTCAGTTATATGCTACTTCAGACTGTGAAATATGTCCTCAGTTTTAATAAACCATTCTGTGTCAGTATTTGCGCGAGAGCTACAATTATTCTCTCATTAATAGCAGGGCGTAGTTTCGAAAATTAGAAGTATCGGAGCATTAGGAAGACGCTAAGGAGAGCAATGAACAAAATTCAAAAATATAATAATAATAAACAAGATTTTACCAAAAGGAGAAAAAAAAAAAAGAATAAAAGAGGAAAAAATCTGAGTGAATTCATATTTTAACATTGCACCAGAGAGTTTGTTAAGGTTTTTTATGTTCTCTGTTTGCATTGTTTCTCCTTGAGTTCACTGTTTACCTATCTGCTCATGGACTCGCTCCTGCTGGCACAGCATTTTCTTGTCTTTTTAACTTTATTATTAAACATCACTTTTTTAGCACTTACGCTATATAAAATTCAACAGCAAAATCATTTTTAAAAACATATCTTTAGAATTTCCGATGCAGTATTAAGTGTTACCACACAATTTTAGACCAGATGGGCTTCTCGAATATAACTTTGGCATCGAATACACTTTTGTTGTCCATTTCACTTTTTAAGTAACTATAAATATATATATATATATAATGCTTTTAATAAATCTAGCTAGTGTAATTTTGCGAATCCAGCTCCTAACTAATAAAAACATAAGAAAACTGCGTTTATTGTTTTTAAATCGCTTGGTTTGCTAATCAAGAATCGGTCGATTAAATTTAAAAGAAAAATTAAATATCTTACGGCCAAATGGCAACAAACTGAAGTGAGGAAGTTAAAAATATTTTATATCAGATAGCTTTAGAATTCCGAATAAGGTATTAAATGTTGCCATTTTTTATATTCTGTATATTATTTCTTTAAAAACAATAGATGGCGATAACATTTGGTGGCAACATCTTATTTGTGTTGCCATACAATTTTTTAATGTTCACTGCATTATTTCTTTAAAAAATAATGAATTAAAATACAAAAATTAAATTTAATGATGAAGTAAGAGTAAATAATTTAACTATAGATTTAAAAAAATTACACCAAAATTAAATGAAATAATACAAGATTGCTAATAAGATATAGTATACTATAAATTTGAAAAGATTGTATTTCATATGGAAGAGGAAACTTAGCTATTCAAATTTTCCTTGAATTTAGCTTTTCCCGGAGAAAAATTGACATTCACTCAACATTTAATATCAGTTTCAGTTTTAATAACTGCTAAATAAAATGCTGCCAACACAACAGAATTTTCTGCTGATACTGGGATTTGAGTTAGATAAAAAGAGTACTGAAGCTCTTCTTACACGGAGTTCCTGTGCGCTTCAGCTGAAATTACAATTTCACTCAATATTTGAGAGCTGGGTTATGGGTTATTCAATCATGGCAAAGCACACGAGGGCTATCTGCCTAAAGGGAGGGATGCCTTCGTGGAGGACTTTCTAAGGGAAACTAGCTCGTATACACGTTACACATGGGGAAAACCACGAAAACGCCCATGCAGCCAGCCCGTTCCCGGGATTCGAACCTTGGACCGAACTACCAGTTTTCAGCATATTTACCGCTCGGCCGCTGGTGGGCCTTTTGAGAGCTGGAGCTGGAGCTGGGTTTTGGAGGGTTTCGGCTAAATTTAAGCCCTGATCCATAGGTGTTAAAACCGGTTGATATAAAATGGAAGTGATGTAATTAATGACTTACCTGCGAGCACACCAGCCATGTACACAGTTCCGATCCTGAGAGATCCGTGAACCATTTCTAAGGGAAGTCCTACTAGAACCTGAACCAGCAGGTTGAATAGTAAGTGAATCCACCTGGAAATAAGAAACAAAACTTTTGTAAATAAATGCAAAATGAAAACATTTTTTCCAGCTTGTGTTTTTTTCTCTATCCTCTGTTAGAACATAAAATATATTTCTTCCTGTACTGCAGATTAAAAAATAATATAAAAATATTTTGTAACAACAGTATGATATTAAATACATAAAAATGCTGTTTATTCAAATAATAACATTGCACTAGTTTTGTGTTGGCACTACAAATGCATAGCATGTATATGATGTATTTTTGAAGTATTGTGTATTCTTTGTATTTGTTTATTAGGTGAATTTTGCGTAACAATATTATTGTGCAACTTTCCTTAATACAATTTTTCGTCACTGATTGTGTTTGTAAATATTTATTTCGTGTCGTATTATATTATAGATATCATAATTCTAAACTGATCAATTTTCATTGCAAAGATAACTCAATTAAAACCTGAGATATGGGCAGAAACAGGATCTATCGAGGCTTGACGACGGTTTTTGTCACCAAGACATTTGGCAGCTTTAGTGGTTTAGGAGATAAAAAGAGTTGGTGCTAATCGGAGACCACTGCAATTCGAGGTTCCTAAAGCTTCGTTCAGACGAGGGCGTAAAGGGCGTAAGTGATTAAAGCCGAGCTCCGTTGCCATGGCAACCAGTCTGTGCAACGTCACAAAATCTGGTATAGGGCTCGTGGCATAGGATTCAAAGTTTTCAACTTTACGCCGAGTTTGGGATAAGCGTCGACCAATCAGAGCGAAGCTAAAACGAAGCGGGGTTCTACAGAAGCTTTTGCTGTCACAAAACAAGCAGAGGGAACGCGGTAAATCAATCGAGCAGGAGAACAGCGCGGGAAAGTTGTAGACACATCCACGCATGCGCAGATTTAGCTTTTCTCATTGGCCACGGCTTACACCCCGTTCTCGCAAGTGTGAACGGAATTCACGTATTTTATGCCCTTATGACTACGCCTCTATGCCCTTTACGCCGCCGTCTGAACGCAGCCTAAGTGTCCCTTTCTTATAGTGATTAAGAGGATAAAATCTGGCTTTCTTGTTTATCAATAGGTTTGGAGGAATTGAATTGTGTAATTATAAATTTCAATATAGTGTCAATAATCAATCAACCATTCAATCTGTAAATTCTTTCTTTAGTTGTACTCAACAGGAAAAATAGCTTGTGTTATTTTAAATGTGTGTTCCTGCAAATGGATGTTAGGGCGATAACTCGTTGCCATTTTAGGGAAAAAATCTTAATGAAGTACCTATAAGTCAAGAAAATTCTTTTAAAGCTAGTTAAGTATTAAGAGTAGCAAACTTACCCAGCATGAAGTAGCATATAGAAAAGAAACCTCCACACTTGATCTCGTTTGTCTGGCCTGTAGATGAAAGGACTGTCGATCGGTACTGGGCCTGTAGTTGTCACCATGCCAGTAGACACTGTATAGTATGTGAAAAAGCCCAGCTGCGAACAAAAAAGACACTCATATACTAAAGCATCAGAACTGAAGCATCTATTTTATTTTCACACAGGCTTAATGAATTAACCTTAACCAGTTTTTGCTCAAGTGATACATTTAAGATACACTGTCGCCTGAAGCTCTGTTTGAACTTTTTGGCTCCATTGGGGAGGAGTCACTTTGAATTTTGAATGAAAGGACTGGATATGCGTATGCAAATACCAATTTGAGAAAATTCAAAAACTGGTTATTTTTATGCGGCGGGAAATTATGCGAGTATACCAAATTCCTAAATTGTACGCTAGGAAATCTACAGAGGAAATATGCAAGTAAACACAAAATTTCTCTTATTTCTGCTAGAGAGTAAGTAATTCATGGCAATAAGGTAAAGAAAAACAGCTTGAAAATAAAGTAGGTAAAAGTAGCAAAATTCAGATTTGTGGTTTTGGCATAATACCGATGATATTTTAACGCAATTTTTAAAATTATAAATAATGCTATGATCCAATGAGACAGTACAGTAAGACCCCGCTTAACGCGGGGGATACGTTCCATCAAAGTAGAGCGTAATGCGAAACAGCGCTAAACGAGGCTATCTTTACATGTAAATATTGGGGTTAGGGGAAGATGGCTAGGAAAATTGGTTAGGTATTAAATTTAAAAAGTATGTGTTTTTTAATAAAAATAAAACCAAACATTTATTTCTTAAAGCCCAAATTAATACCACATTATTATTTCTTGCAAAAATAAAAACAAATATAAATAACAAAACGAATATTCTTAAAAAAAAAAAAAAACAAATAAAATTCTCAGTCATATTTAGTTAGCCTTCCGCGTTTTCAGTGTTCTGCCTTTTTGTGACAAAAGCATCTAATGTTGTTTGCCTTTTGCGTTTGTTTCTTAAAAGTTCTCATAAACGGATAGAGCATCTCTAACACCACGCCTTACTTTTGAGCTCCTGTCAAAATTCGGATCTTTTCGATGAATTGATCCATTATTTCAGTTATGGTAGACAAACTCCTTTTTACAAACGCCATCGAAAGTTCTTTTTGCTCTTTTTCTGAATCACTGCTGTCAACATTTTGTTTTTCTTCTTGTTCAGTTAATTCCTTGAGCATCATTTAGAAAGACTAGCCGCTGCTTCTTGAATTATTTCTTCGACATCTTCCACATTTACCCGTTCAAAATATGTCTGTACAATACCGCACCATACAAGAAATACAAGTACACTCTTTCGGATATGTATTTGAAACCTATCGCTGCATAATATTTCGGGGAATCCCCGTACGCTGCGAGCGATTTCGTGGAATCCTCGGGTTGAAATAAAAGAGCGCTAAACCGAAACAGCGCTAAACGAAACAGCGTTAAGCGGGGTCTTACTGTATTTTAGTTTTTAAAGCGGGAAAAGATAAATAATCAATTTACCCATGACTTAAATTTTATTTACCTCCAATATTCATGCATGTAAGTAAACTTTCTCTTTTCAAATTTCGTAGTACCGCTTGATTGCATATTCACGAGAGAATATAATAATTCGAAATGATCACATTAAATAGAATGCCCTTATTGGGAGAATTTTCACGCTTTAATATCCAGATATTATATACATTGCATGCATCGTCCACTTCTGCAAATTTTAAAAGGCAGAGATAAGCGGAAATTTTTCATTCGTTTGGAATTCCGTTCCTCGAACAAAATGTTCGTTTTTCCAATGTCCGCACGCCAAGATGACAAACGATCTCGGTGCTCTCGTTTCACCCTGTCATGGAATGCTCTGCCCCGTTGGCTGTACCCATACCCGAACAGAGGCTGCTGGCTTCTAAATATTTTATTTCTTCTCAGCAAATATACCGGACGATGACCGCTCTATTCTCTTTAACCTTCGCCAGCACCAATTCCCATAATTCTAGACGTTCTCAGGAGGGAACATCTCTTGGTATTCAGGAGAAGCAGTGTATATCGATTAAATGTATTGACGAATGCGTCTGATGCGTGCCTTCTCTTGCTGCAGCTTCAGACTAAGTCTCAAGGAAAAGTAACAAACGCAACAAAGTATAAGATTAATGTCTGTTGGTGTAACAAGTCTTGCTTGACTACATAATTAAGTCTTGGTGTCTCTTTCCAGTGCAGGTTACTTTTCAAGTTACAGAAACAGTTAACGGTGAAATAAAATAGGCAGAACAATCGAGTTTAATTTTCCGCCGCCTTCTGCTCTTGCACCATTCAATCGAAAAGATAGCACAGTTGCCAATTCTGAAATGTAAAAAAACCGGAAGATTTCAGCCCTGCATGAAGATACGATTTTAAAAAGAATTCCGGATTGAAAATTTTTACTTAATACTGCTCTGTAATGAAAGTTTCTGATTATTAATTTGGGTATATGAATTTAACGTAAAACACTGTTTTTTTTTTTAGAACGTGTGTACTTTATCTTGAGCCTTTTTCTTTCTTTCTTTCGTCTGTTGGTGCAAGAAATTTCCTTGCCTGTAAAGTAGCTGAAAGCAATTACCTCTTAAAGTCCTCTCTGAAAGCATCCCTTCCCTTAGTTTGCTTTGTTATAATAAGAAAATGAACTAGCTGTCTATGGATGCGTTAATGAAGGGATAATGAAGCAAGTTTACTTAATCGAGATTCAGATTTCTTAAATACGAATAGAACTTAAAACATTCCGTTCTACAGTGGCAATATAAAGGGGCAGGACCACTAATATTTTTAAAAGAAAATATCCTGGAGGCTTTAATTAACTAACTAATTAATTAACTCCAACAATTATGTTGCATTTTATATTAGAACAAAAAGAATAAAATTAAAAAATTTATCTGCATATGCTGTTTATCAGCAGTTTTGAACGGTACATAAAATTTATCTGCCATCCTCAAATATTTAGTTCATTAAAAACATTCTGCGTATTTTTTAAACTGTCTCTAACATTACAAAATTAATACTGAAATTATTATATCGAGTCAAAATGCAAACGGGATATTATAACTTAAAATGCATTTTTACGATATTAATCCTGTTCGTAAGAAAAGTAAGCTTCAATTCTGCGAAAAATTAGAATATTAGTGAGAAGAAATACTATTGTAATCTTTTACAGAATTGAAGCTGGACGTTACATAAGAGGTAACTACTGTTCACACAAACAAACACACGGATTAACTTAGAAAATGGGAGACCTTTCTTTTTTTTTTCTTTTTTCTTTTTTTTTTTTTTTTTTTAGTCCAAAGGGATTTGAATCCCGAAGGACTATTAGTTTCGTTTTGGCATTTTGCGTCGGACGGATAAATGTCGGTTCACTTTTCAAACTGTTGCCATAAAATGTTAGAGTCCTGCATTATATTTGAAGAAATTAAATAATGAAAATCTGCGTAAATGTATGTAGATTTCTCACATTGTCATAAATAACGGTTACATAGAGTCATCGAATTTTGAATAACGTAATCCTCCAACGAATATGAGCATGTGGAAGACCAAATTTGAAATTTGAAATTTGTTTTATGATCGATTTCCTATTTTTTAAAACTTTGACGAAATTTTTGATTAACAACTCAAGGATTTCAAGCGAGCAATGGCAACGTTGTGCAAAAAACATTTTTATCTCCAGCGCGTGAGTCTCTGTATCGGAAATTCTAAGATATGCTCGTTTTAAAACTTTTTGCGATATTGCTGTTGCACTGATCTTATGGTTTAAGAGCGAGGAACATGATATTTAATAAAGAAAGGTAACACACAAAATGTTAAAAAACGCCCCTTTGGACGTAATTTAAAATCTAAAACATTTCAGATTTTTTTTTTTTTTTTTTTTGTTCCCTTTAGCTTGTGAAGGAATTAATTGAATAATGTGTTTTTTGATAATAATATTACAAAATGTTGTTATTTCTTTGGTAGCAATAATATTGGTACTAAAAATATTTTATGATTAATGATTATAGATATATTATTTGCGCGTCAAAAAATAGGGAGGGCTGTTTTAAATGTGCATTAATTTTCATGCATTTAAAACAAAGTGTTTACACCCTAGCAGCAACAAGAATCTGGCTGCCAGGGTTACAACGAGTAGATATTAAGGTGCCATAGAGCAAGGGGCGGTATAGTTTTATTGTTTATCTTCAAATTCCAAGCTCCCAGTATAGCTGGGAATAGTTTTTTTCAGTGAAGCGATTGCGACAACAGACGCCTCAAAATTCCTCTTCTGTTTTTCTGTGGAGCAAAGAGGCAAAAAAAAAATCGCGGTGTCGGGCCAAGGTTGTCCCTGAATAGAAACCGACGTAAAAGACTTTTAGATGAATGAAGCTATGGACTCCAAAAAGGACCACGAAACTACGCAAGAAGGTCATGAATGACAGAGAAATCTTCCACGCTTCAAAACTATACCTAGGCATATGTTACAGATTTAAAATAGAAAAGATCAAAACATTTCACAAAAATGATGCAAACTCATAAAGGAAAGTAAATATCATTTGAAAAAACTATAGAAACTTATTTCCAATACTTTTATGCTATTAAAGGCCAAATTTCTTCTTTACTCTTCTTTCTTTATTTTGAAAGAAATGGTCATCTGCACTACACTAGAAACAAATCATGTTACGAGAAAATTGTTTCAAAGAACATCTTCGAGAAAAAAAAAAAAAAAAAAAAAAAAAAAAAAAAAAAAAAATCAAGTTACGATTTTGCATAATAATTTAAAATTACGCTGAAAAGCAATGGCAGACTGATAATGACTTAGGATAAAAATACGCTAATCCAGGTTTCAAAAATCAAAACCTACGCTAAAACTGAGCTTGCTTTGTATACAGTCATTAGGTTATTATATTGAAACAGGAGACATGAAAAATGAGCAACGCTCACCGAGACTCGAACCTGGACCTCTTGATATACGCGCCGAGTGTGCTAACTAGTGATGGGCAACTTCGGTACATTCTTGTACCCGGTACGAGAGTAACGGGTACAGACAACCCCGGTACAAAACCCGTTACTCAGTAACCGTTACTTTGAAAAGTACCGA